GGTCTACAACTTTTATTTAAAACATTTTTCAAAATTTTTGATATTTGGTGGGATAAATGTTAAAAACCATAATTTTTATGGGTTTTTCATGGTTTTCATGGATTTCTTGTTCCGACCGCCATGTTTAAGTTACATATTCATGTTCAGAACACAAAAATACATAGAAATTGAGTGTTGTTATCCCTTATTTCATATGCGTGGGTTTTCCGAAGGTTTACCGATATAATTTAGGTATCTTAAGAGGATCCCCCAAGGCCGAGGCCTTTGATGGTGTGCGCCATCTAAACACGAAACGCAGCATATACATGAGCACACGGACGCACTACTACGATACATCACACCCATACATAAACGCGAAAATTTCATACTAACTATACTCTTATTTTAAACGTCTAATCCCAATTTAGAGGGTTTCACAGTAATTCTACATGTCATCGAATCCTAGGAAACTCAGTTTCATGTGAGTACAAGTTGTAGAACTTTTATACGAAGCACAAGTATGACGGAGTGACAGTTCGCGTCTTTGAGGTTATATGTGATCGATCATATGAATTTTGTAATTTTGACTCATTTTTGGTATAAAATTGGAGTTTCCTGGGATCATCAATGCATATACTGTCATTGTACGCAAGCATTTTTGATTCCATGAATTTAATACGACGAAAGGTTATAACTACGAAAATGGTAATTCTGTCGGTAATACAGACATACTACGGGATCCTCTTAAAGACGTTCAATTTGAGAAATATCCTTTAGACATCATTTTCGTGATATCTTTTTGTTTTAAAAAAACGGCGCATTAGATAACATTCTGATATATTTACGTGATCTTTTAGAAACCTATCTAAGTTAACAGGTTCAGAAATGCGATATCTTTTAGAAATCGTTTTCATTTAACATATTGTTTTCTGGGAACGTTCATTTAAAATAATTAACGTTCAATTCTGACTTTCGTTTCTGCAATAACATTGCAGTATAATACACATGTTAAAAAATGTACTTTAATTAAAATTTCATATAAGAAAGTGTGAGCATTTTTGTGTGAAATTGTACACTTTATTAGAACATCCGGAACTACCAAGACGTATGGGAATAATTAATAATGCGAAAAAGTTTGATGCGGATTTCTTCGACTTTCCTTTTGAGCAAGCGCAAACATTTGTACCTGAAATAAAAATATTATTGGAACATTCTTATGAGGCAATTATAGATGCGGGGATCAATCCGAAGCAATTGCGAGGAAAAAATACCGCCGTGATCATAGGGAACACCTTGTGTGAAACGCAACTTAACTTGATGTATACGGATCTTAAGGTAAAGAAAGTTATTGATAAGTATACCAGGAATAAATTATTATAAATTAATATATAGAAATTCATATGTTTGTATCACTCAAGTCCGAAAACGTGTAAAATTGTTAATTTTCTGTAATTAGCTAAATGGTCTGAATATTACTGGATGTTCAAAATCTTCACTGGCAAACATGATTTCGCACCATTTTGACCTGAAAGGACCATCACAAGTAGTCGATACAGCATGCAGCTCTAGTCTTTATGCCATAAACATTGGTTATCGTTGTATTATGTCGGGCCAATGCGAAGATGCGATAATTGGAGCTGCACAAATAAATATTAATTCAATTATAAATATGAACTTCTTTCGTTTAGGTACTCTTACTGAAATTAATTTTATAATACATTAAGTACAAAAATTAAATAATTATACATATACCATATATCTCTTTTAAAATAATAAATAAAATTTAACAGACTATGTAATTTCATTAAAAACATTTGTAATGCTAGTAAATAATTAACCAATGTAGAAAAATTAATAAACGATGCGACTAGCAAATTTTAATTTTAGAAATTTATTGCAAGAAATATACAATTACCTCAGCCAGGGTTTGAACCTGGACCTCCCTACACACTGAGGCATGTCAGTGGTCGAATTGGTGAGACGCTCGCTTAGAGTGTAGGGAGGTCCAGATTCAAACCCTGGCGGAGATAATATTTCTCGCAATAAATTTCTCTAATTAGAATTTGCCAAAAATCTATATCCTTGTTTTATTTTTACATTTGTGTTTTTCAGGTGTTTGGTCACCGAATGGTGAATCCAGACCTTTCGATAAAGCTGCAAACGGTTATGTACGCAGCGAAACGGTGTCAGTGATATATCTTCAAAAAGCAAAGAATGCGAAAAGGATTTACGCTATCATTCCGAATATTAAAACAAACTACGATGGTTATAAAGAAGAAGGAGTAACATATCCGTCGTCCCAGATGCAAACTACTTTGCTATCTGAATTTTATGATGAGTGCGGAATACCGACATCTTGCGTGGATTACATTGAAGCACATGGTACTGGTACCAAAGTCGGCGATCCTCAGGAAGTCAATGCTCTTCATAAGGTTTTTTGCAAGAATAGAGAAACTCCTTTAATGATTGGCTCCGTAAAATCCAATCTTGGTCATGCTGAAGCTGCAAGTGGTTTTACTCAGCTTGCTAAGGTAAAATAAATGGTTTACGCATTTATTCATTATGTTTCAAATTTAACTTAATTAAATAATAATAAATTAATTTGTAATTAATTTATTAGTTGTATTTTATTAATTGTATTTTATTGTTTTTAAAGGTAATAATTGCATTCGAAACCGGTATTGTTCCACCACATATCAATTACACATCACCACGAGATAATATAGACAGCATAAAAAATGGAGCTATCTGTGTCGTTACAAATCCAATGCCACTTAAAAATGGTTACATAGGTATTAGTTCTTTCGGTTTCGGGGGAGCTAATGCTCACATGTTAGTAAAGTGGAACCCCAAACAAAAACTTGACAATAATGCGCCTAATGATGACCTGCCAAAACTTGTATTATTATCTGGACGCACGGAAGACTCAGTAAAGTTGTTTTTAAACGATGTTAGTAAACATTTCAAAAGTAATTTTAATGTCATTTTGAGTAATTCAACATTATACAATACATTTTGTTTTAAAATATTTTTGACCTTAGACTGCTAATCATCCGATAAAG